TATCCTAAATTTTTCGCGTTCTGTATGGCGACTATTCATTCACCGTTTTCTTTTTTACGTACGGCTCTATATAAACAACTCGATAAATCATAAGAAAATAATCAATTTTCATACTAGTTTTTTCTAAATTATTTCTTGACTATTTCTTAGTCGAGGAAATGCCGAGCTTGGTTGTAAATTAAGATCGGACTACCCTGTAGTGGTCTACGACCAACTCAAGTTGAGTCGGATCCCGACATTGTTCCTGCTAAGTTTTTAGAATTGAAAAAATTAAATTGAATAAAGTAAAAAAAATCTAGTAAATTATCTCAAGAAAAAGAAAAAATTTTAAAAAGTCAAAGATCAGGTTCGATCCTGAACATACTGAAAATTTGGTAACAGGGTACTTAGAAATACTATACAATGGTACTTGATTCAGTACTTGATCAGTACCTATAGGTACCCAATTACTGTGCATTCTCCAGCAGGGTACTTGCCATAGTACCACTTAGGTACCTGTAAGTACCTACAAGTACTTTGGTACCCAAAAGTTCCTGTGACATACTGGTATCAGGGTACTTTTTTGGGTACCCTTAACTCAGTATATTCTCTAGGGAATCTTTTCTTTTCATTCTTACTTGATTCTCTAATTGTCTTTATTTCTGTCACATGTTCTACTAACCATCTGCTCTGTACAGATCAATATATACTATCGTTTTCATATTTGTTTAATAAAAGTCAATAATCCTAGTTAAGTTGTAGTAGCTATGCAAAAGCAGAAAAAAAATGGATGGAGAAGGTGACGGAAACATGATCGGTGAAAAAGAAGATGTTGCTGTACTAGTAACAGGTGAAAAATCACAAATGCAATCAAAAGAAGATAAATTTAAGAAAAAAGAAATCGTAATAAAGATATATTCAACAGGCTATGATGGGAAGCGATTGAAGATCAACCATTTTTAAAAGAATATAAATTTGATTCATCTCACGAAGCCTGTATCGCTTGTAACCAACAATTTTCAGTACATTATTGAGGTAAAACAGACATTGATAATCGTATAAAGATTCAGAAATACCGAAACCATATGAATTATTTTTATAGTAATCGAAAATTGATAACAACAAAAATGGAACCATCAAAAGAAAAAGAAGAAGTTTCTGGTGCAAAGAGATGTTTTGGTTTATTACGGTAGGCAATATAGGTATTTTTATTTGGTGCAGCAATACATGACCAATGTCCATAAAATAACATTGTCGTCATGATAAGTGACGGGCAATTTATCATATGCATGAACCGAATCAAATTTTATTGCTATAAATGTTAAAGCAGCATTCTTTACTCATACTTCACTTGATGACTTTAAATAATCACGCTATTAGTCTTGGTTGCATGATGCTAGTAATAAAGAAAATATGAAAGTATATACGTTTTATATATACCTAGATAACGTGTGTCACATGTATTGTACTTTTCGACAAAGCATGCGATACAATCTGTTCAGTACCCATGCGATACATGCTGAAAATATGGTTCGAATCCAGTCTCCAACGCATTTGTCATTTTTGATCCAGAAGCAAATAGTTACTCGTTTTTCAGTGTACTTTGAATAAATGATATCGATGCTAAAAATTCAAGACAGTTAGATCTTAACTTCTATCCGTCTCGACTTGATCTGACCTCGATCAGATCGTTTCAAGGAGGTCTTTTCTTGATCGTCGATCGATCTCTCAGTATGTTCTCGAGTAATAACTAATTGAGAAATAATCTAGATGAATGACATACGAAAACATATACTCAGATCCAAGAAAACATTGTTGTGAACGGTGTTAAATACCGTCATAGCAACGTAAAAGGTCGAAAAACGGCGACGTAATACGTCATGCCACATTATGGAAGCAAAACCGAGAACAAACGATGACCTTTTTCTAGTGAGAAAAACGGTTCGTAAGACGGATTATGGCGAAAACATGTCGAAATTGATGTAGTAATATGTTGCTTTATAGCTGTTTCTCGCCTGATAAGACGCCGTTTCCAACGGTCGCAATGACCGATTTGGGTGAGGTCAGTATATGCAATTGATTTGGCTATACGTAGCCATAGGCACAAAACAAAACGATGCTTGAATTGTCAGTAGATATACCAACACACATTCGGACTACAACATATTTTCGGGATAGTCTGCAGTACTGTGAGTAGCGACACATTTTATTGTAGTGTGCAACATGATGACAATCCATTATAATTCAATATCTCTTTTCCATTTGATGATGTCGCATGTATATGAAGCTTTTCACAAAACGTACTATTGAGACCTTATAAAAGATATCTTGATTACAATGATATCATGCAAAAACTGTTGGTTTATCTAGATTAATCATATCCATGAAAATTAGGTTACAAGAAGAATTTGATTCAGAATTTTTCGGTGCACCTTGTCGACACAGATTAGCATGTTCACTAACTAACACACAAAGTATGTGAAAGCCATCATTTACCAGATGTTTAAGTACAACTATTGCTTATATTTACTCTTATTTCGACCATAATGTTGCGTCTTATCGAACAATCAGTTATTTTCTTCAACAAAATAGTGAGGTGTTGATATGGCGTCTACTTGCTGAATGTATTGAGATGATAAAAATCAAAGATCTAAATAAAGACCACTTATTCGATGAATCTACAAGCTGAAAATCAACATATGGAATACTTTTAGGTCAACCTCTATCGATATTTGATCAAATAAAAGCACTTATCAAAAAAAATTAAATGATATAGCAAAAACAAATGATCATGATAGATGAAAAAAGCAACCATGATGATAATCATTTAAGAGTGAAGAAAATAATGATATCTGACCAACTATAAATTCTTTTGTTTCAACTTACTTGCTCATCCAGTTTTGAGAAGCTTATATGTTTTATTTGTTCCTTACTCTTTTTAAAGCTTATTTCCAATCAGTATTTTCACAAATGAAGTAGTTATAAATGAAAGCGAAACGAATGAATAGTACAAAGAAAGAAAGTCAAAGAAGACAAGCCGCTCTTAGCAACAAACGATATATGTTCATCCCTATTTTTATTGGCTGGAGGCTTATAAGCGAATTCGGAATAACCCTCATTGTATTCAACTTTCACATTCAACATATATGCCTTTGCTTGGACGTTCTTTCTCGATGGCTTCAAATGAAAAAACGAAATTGTATGACAATGGAACTGATATTAGCTGAATGAAAAATACGTCTCACTTTGCCTTATCTTGTACAAAGATGAGTGCAGTCTCGTTTCGTCAATTGATTAAGGCTCAATTGATTAGTTACATAATGAATATTCATTTTTTTTAAGTGATAGGGCGCTGTAGAAGAAACTCACTACTAGTCTTTTGTAGATGATAGTCCGAACGAATAATATATGAGTAAGATGGTTAAAAAAGACTCATTTACATCAGAGTAGTTAGTTTAGAATAGACGAAATCGATGAATTATGATGACAAAGCAATCGAAACGAGCTTAGATATTTCTTTCTTTGTTTGTTTATTCTAACTGAGGTATGTGTGAGTGCGAATGAAGTGAACGATCACAGCCATCCAACTAAGCAACATCGACAAATCACACTAATATGCACATTTCATTCGAACAAACAAAAAAGAAGAAAATTTCTATGCTTTTTATGATTACTATATCATCATAATTAATTGATTTTGTTTATTCGAATTTCGAAACTATCTTCTCTAATATCAATTAATCTTTTCTAATTGTCTTACCTATATATTAGTATTCGTTTGAACTATCACCCACAAAACACTAGTAGTGTTTCAGTTCTACAGTGTCCCATCACTTTCTTATAAAAAAATAATAATATTCATTATGTGATTAAGCTATTGAGCCTTTACTAGTCAAGCAAACGATCAATCATTAGATTGTGGTCTATGTAAGGAAGAAAAAATTATTTATGAAACGGGAAAAAAAGGTCCGTTGATAAAGTGGAACGATATCCATAGATGTATAAGCATGTGTTATGTCATCAAGATTTGTCAAAAGCAATAAAATCAGATAAAAAATATTCAATCAATAGAAGATGTGCTCAATAATTCTTTTTATCTGTTTAATTAGTTTATTCTTGATTTTCTACAATACAAGTTAAAACCTGATATGAAAGTTTATCATCAGTTCATAGAAATAAAGTTTCAAAACAGAATTTGTTATCAGAAACATACTCTGTGCCTTTTTTGTTTTTCTGACAATAAATCTTCTGTCATTTGCAGCTCTCTGAAGATTGAAAAGTGAGTACACTATTTGCTAGCGCCTCATTTGTTACGTCTATTGATTCGTGCGCATTTTCTCAAGAATTCTTTCTCATTGATCTATCACTTAGCAGAATAGAAAGAGATAACAAATGCATGCAAAAATCAATACAAAGAAGCAAATTAAAAAATAATTAAATACATATCAAAAGTGAAATTCACATCATAAATTTAAAACCTATCTGTTTATTTGTTGTCTGCATTTTGATATGGTTCATACATCGATTAGCTACTTTATACTTGATCAGATCGTAATCTCGAACATTGTGCATTATCTAAAAGTTTAATAATAATATAACTATGATAATTTGTTTCCTAATTTATTGTTATATGAATTATTTGAGTGTTTTTTTTATATGGCACATAGACTCAAGTTTTTATCTAGTAAACATCTGAAGTATTAATTATAGAGGAAAGAATTGTTTAACGTTTTTTATGCAAGAACTATTTCAAATAGGATGCATCAACATTTTTTTTTCTGTTTAGGTCAGTCAGTCATATCCGGCGACCTTCGATCGATATTTCTTTTTTCTTTCTCTCTCTCTCTCTCTCTCTTTCTATTCCATATATATAGCAATCGACATTCAAATAGCAGACTAAACAATTCTATCTGTTCTATACACGCCAACACATGTCCGATATGAAATAAAAAAACACGTGCAGCTTTTTCTGTGGCTCATCGTCGTTTTTTTCTTTCCATTCTACTTAATTTCAAATTAAAATGAATTCATCAAATTGTTCACCATTACTTGTTCAGAAAATGTTTCAATCGTTATTGTCTAATCCAACAACATCGAATACTTCAACTACATCTCATCAAAACTTACCTGCACCAACAACGTCACGACCGTTAACATCACCACCTAAAAAGAATTCTATTCGACTTATTGAAAATGATCAAAATGGTCGTCGAGAAAAATATGATGGTTATCGTTGGAGACTTGTTTGTACATGGCATTTATGTGAATGCACTAATATAGCCTATAGTTATCAATTATGTGCTAAACATAATGCATTACGACGAAATAAAGAATTACCAAAAAGAAAACGGAAACCATTACTAACTCATTCATCATTACCGATCAGTAATAGATTTTCTTTTGCTTATTCTTAATATAAATAATGCAAAAAAAAAATTTTTTTTTTTCGTTTTAGTGAATCAACACAATCATAATAATCTACATGATGATGATGATATTGAAATTCTTGAAGAATATTGTAAAGTAAAAAATAAAAAATTTATTTTTGTTTTGTTTTCGCATTTATTATTTTATATGAATTAATTAGAATTCAACTAATCGTTGTTCTGTAAGCAGTAATATTAAAGCAGAAGCTTCTGATTATCATATGTTTTCTGTGGACAATCTCAATGAAAGTCATCTATTTGATGCAATTAAATCAGAACCAAAGGTAAGTATTGAATTATATGTTTTATCATTAATTGAAGAAGTCGACGATAATTTTGAGTATTTCCAAGAACAATAACCATGTATTCGAATTTATTCTTGTCATCATCTGACATATCTTTGATGTTCCTATGAAGATAAAGGTTACACTGAGTATAAATTTAGATAATGTCAAAGATAATTTGTTTAGAAGTTTTTTTTTTTCTTCATATATGATCGAGTGATCACTTTGAAAATGTTTATATGAAAATTATTTGATCGATTAACTAATGCAAAATTATTGACAAGTTTATAGATATATATCACTTGTATCTCAATATTTTTTCCAATATTCAACAGATCTAGTGTAGCCATGTGAAGATCAGATTATTGATACTAGCATGATGAATGATAGTCAGATCTGTTTAGTGTCAGTTTTTTCTTTTCATCGGTAACAGTTGCTGGCAGACAAGTGTCACATCTGCATGTGATTATACCGTACTGTGCAGTATCCATTTTTTTTTTTCACTAATTTCTTGTAATAAGCTTTTTCAATTGATGATTAGAACATCAGAAATTCATCAATCAAGGTGTGAAATAATAGCATATTTATTGTTTCATGTCGTAATAACCTTAAACATCTTTCGTTTTTGTTTATGATTCATTTAGGAAATTTCTCACACAAGTCATTAATCACTCCACATAATATACATGATGAGGATGACTTAATAAATAGCATTGAAATAAAACAGCTTTCTTTTGTTGAGCTAATTACAGCTTGCAGATTGTATTTATTTCAAAATTTCTGAAATATTATAAGTTTTTTCTATTCAAAAATTGATTATCTAAGAAGTCAATTTTTTTGCATTTTAATCAAGGGATCACTGTTTTTATTGCATTTATTCCAGGATGTTACAGAATATCTGCATGATTTCTCAAAACTCAAGGAATTGTTTGTTTATGAAAGTTTGATGAAGAAGATATGCACTTATATAGAAAATACAAAATAGTAACACGCTTCCTTGTCGTACATATTTTATATTTCGATCAAAGTGAACACTTTTTTTGAATAAAAATTAGAGGTGTTAAAAACAGTTTTCGATTCGAATACAGTAGAAGATAAAGATAAAAACTGATTAGATATAATCTGTTTTTCTGTTAAAGAAAGATCAATTCATTTACTAGGAATCCTCTCGTTTGGGCATCAATGCAAATCGAATTTAAAGTTATGAAAAATCTTTTCGTATAGTCTTGTTTTAGAGGAAGATACTGACGTTAGTTGATATAGAACTGTAAACGACTAATCTAGTTCAGTAGATGATCCCTACTGATTGGCAAACACAATTTATTTGCTAACCGATTTGACTTTTTTTTTTGAATTTTTTCCATTGATGTTGAAGACTTTATGACGGACAATATCCGTAACTGTTCTATTTAATAAAAGTTCATCCTAATATACTTTTGAAATATTATCAATTCGCATCGATGTCGCCTTAATAACATCAAATATTTGTTTTGCATTGTTGTTTGTCATATATTTGCATATTCCTACTATTTATGATGTATATTGTGTACATAGATATAAGAAATAGAAAAGAAAATATAGTGTACGAAGCAGATTAAGTATACTAGTGTTTAATAACTAGAATTGCCAAAATCTAAATTTTAAAAATCAGAGGCTTTCTCTCGAAAATCAGAATTTAATCAGGAGACTTTTTCACGAAACCGAATGAAAAAAATACAAAGATTTTTTTGAAATTTGAGTAAGAAAAGGAAGTATTAGACAGTTCCATCTTATAAAAACAAACTAATTAATGTTATAAACTTACGTGACTTGTATTTTATCAAGTGAGTCATGGGAAAAATTATCTTACATGTGAAATACAGAAAAGAGGGATGCAATCAGGCCTATATCTGAAAATCTCGATTAAATCTTTGTGTGTAAATCTATTTATATCGATTGCCATAGAATACCAGATCCATGGTTTCAACAATAAGCTGAAAACTAGACAATTGAAAGATTTTATGGATTTTTAAAGTATTTCTGACTTTTCGTTTGGAAGGAATTTTGTTAGGAAAATTTTGATTTCTCGATCGGTAACGATCGAAACATCTTCACCATACCAGAATCCCGTGAACACGAATGATGTTAAGCTCTTTCTGGAGCTCTGTCTACTATACTAGAATAGTCATTGAAGAAGCGCTCAATATTTATTCTTTCAAAAATTTTGCTGGAGTTCATAATACATCTCTATAATCCAAGGTATTGTATTGTACTGGTATTCTCGTATCTGTTTGGTTACTGATGGAAAGAATGTAAACATAAGCAATTTATAAGGATATGACAAAAACAAAAAAAAAGGCAAATTGTTCATGGAAAGCAAACTATCTGGAACGTCATTTTCATGTTGCTACCAATAGGACTGTATTCTTCTGGCGAAAAAAATTCGCTTTCACACTTCTTGATCATTTAGAAAGTAATTGTGAAATTTTGTAAAGTTCCAGACGAGCTGTTTGTCTAATGTGTAGGATGCACTAGTCACCGAATACAAAGAGAAGGAATAACGTATCTTGTACTTCCGGAGCGGTTATCATATATAGATTAGAAAATTTTGTTGATAGTATCAAACCTCGATTCGACCATATCTCAAAAATTTGAACTCGACGAACTCTATTGGCAGGTCCGTTAATAATTTCTCTGTCTCGCAAGCAGTTGATGAAAATGGAAATAGTATAAAATACTAAAATAAACTCTTACATCATCAATGTTTTAATTAGAAGCAGATATGACTAATTGCGATTATGATTTCACTGTACTAGAGTTAGAAAAATGAAGGATGAATCATGCCGGTTTATTAGTCCATTCAGTTCGGTCTGACCATTGTTGAGGTCAGTACCGTTCCCAATATGAAAAAACTTTATCGATACCAACATTGCTATGACTTATCATTCTTTTTTTTTGTTACTTTTCTTTAGGTTTCATCAAGTTATTCCTTGACTAAAACTAACGATGTTGAATATATAACCTCAACAACTCGTTCTAATGGTTTTAATATTACGGAATTAGTGTCAAAAAACATTCCGCCATTAACTGAATTTGAAGAAGAATGTCTTGCATCTCGTCTAATGGAAAGATATCCAACTACTTGTCTAATGCTTGATGCACAACTGTTTTTACACGATGAAGCCCTTGCCGTTGTGAAAAAGAATTATCGGATAAAGGTAACAATGAAAATATCTATATCATAAAATAATTCCTATTTGAAAAGAGCAGAAAAATACATCATTTTGACAAGAGCTTTAAACATGAGTTGCTCAATGGAAAAGAGGCCTTTTTATATTTCAATACTTAGTCATAATCCATAATGTTTCAATAAATTTATAAAAGTATACAATTGAATATTTTTGTTTATAGATGGATGCCGTTGCACCGGAATATTTCTATGATTTTCTTCTTCGTCATCCACGTGTAGCACTTCATTATAGCAATTGGTTTCTACGATGTAAACCTGTACCACCAACAACTGGATGTTCAATTGATACAAAAGTATGGACATTAAGTATGACAGTACGAGGTGCAATGGCGGTTGATCATATGAACGATGAATGTGCTGAATAATTTTTCTTTTCATTTATTAGTGTTCTTAAATTTTTTTTTGTTTGTTTTGTTAATGCTACTCAATCATTTCATTTTCTCGTTCTTTTATGTAATAGAAATAAGGCATGTTCTAGAACACATCTATCTATGAAATGTGTTAATGTAACGTTGTATGTATTTGTCGATTGAAAAATACGAAATAAAACTTACTTAAATGAAAAAAAAATATGTTGACTGAAATCATTAGCGTCATGGTACTGACAAAATAAATCACAATCGGTTTCAGTTATATTTTATGAATCTTATATGTATGTACATTTTTCTTGGTCTTTCTTAAGATAACTTAAATACTTACATGTTTATGAAAAGGTGAATCGTAAACAAATTAGATGTGTTAAGTTTCAATAAAAGAAAAAAGATTTTTCAAAATTTGAGAATTCTCGAAAGTTCTTAAAGTAAGAGAATATCGTTTTCCAATTTTTGGTAATAATTGATCTGTATCGCTTAAAGATATTTTTTCTTTTATCTGTATGGTTAAGAGAACGATATCTAAGCAATAATTTGCCGACCAATTTTACTTTTTTTTCTGAAACATTCCCTAATAAGAGTTTTGGGGTAAAAATTTGGACTCTTCCTGCCTTCTATATCGTATATGAATAACGTTTCATTATAATATATAAACTACTTCCTTATCACATTTCGATTGGATTTAGTAAAAAGAATGATGAAGAAGTATGTTTTACAATATATAAAATAAGGCAAGCTACATTGATCGGCAAAAGCAGCTACATCTTGCGTAGAGAGTACGCTAAGAGCTTTTCGATCCTCTCAGTCCTGTTTCTTTTTTTTTTTATTTTTACAATTTCCTCCAAATCTGATCAACTTGTAGATTTGATATACACATAGATCTATGATCTCAACTCTAGTTTATCTCATTAGTTTTGTCAATAATTATTCATAAAATGGATGGCGCATGAGTAATGACAAACTCTAGTAACCAAACTTTGGCCATCTCACGTAACCATTGTAAATTTTAGAAAAAGTTCATTTAAGAGTGAATTTGAATTTTCTATAAAACCTGCTAGTGTAAATTTATAAAGCTTAGCTATCTTCCGAACTATTTTCAAAATGTACACATGTGAATTTCTAAGCTGTGCCAGATTCTTCTTGTCTCGTTCGTAAATGACTAGGTAGGAAATGTATTGCTCTATCGATTTCGCTGACTAATAAATTCATTAGTCTTGCTTAATATTCGCTTGCACTCACATTTCTTAATCGAACTACTTGTTTTTGTACTCTTTTGAAAAATGGAATGTTTTTAGTTTTTTGGACCGATATAAAATTTTCGCTTAACAGTAAAAAAATGGCACAATTCAATTCTGTACAAATTGGTAGAACTGAAACTCAACATTTCAAGGACCTTTATTAGTTTACAGTCAAAACTGAAGAATGTGAAGGACCAGTCTAAGAAAACTATTTTTTTCCCAAGCCACTGATAGTTATTAAATTCGAAAAGTCTTCCTTAAAAACTTCCAAATTTAGTGGCGAAAATGTATGACTAAATCCAAAACTTTCTCATTATGTTAAAGCTCACAAGGATAAGTCAATAAGATGGAGAAGACGATTTTTTCGAATTATAAGCACGCCAACTTTTACCATTGACATTGCTGCGTATTTTGAAGGCTTTTTAGAATATAAATAGAATCCGTAAAATTGATATAGCAGATGTTCTAGAGAGTTGACTCTTAATCAAATGAATTTCTTTTTGAAATTTTCAGCAGTTAATTCTGATTTTCAAAAAACCATTTACAAAGGTGTCTCATTATTTAAGCGACACTCGTTAAATATTTTTGTGATGAGCGATCTCAATATGATATTCTCTCAAAAAATTACTGTTCAGTTCTACAATTATCAAGGTTTTATTATTTTTCAGATACACGTAGACACATAGTTTCTTCTTGATATACAAGAGTTTTTTCAAATTTCGTTTTTTATAATTTCATCGCGAGTTTTTTTTCCACAGATTACGAAAAATTAGCATGATGTTTTCGGAATGAAATCGTATTCATCGACTATAAATCAGGAAAGCAAAAAAAAAAGATAAGTCTATTAACTTAAAAACGAACAAGTGAAGACAAATAATCTATGTTGAACTAAACGCGAAAAAAGAATTAATTTACAAAAAATGAAGTGTTTTTCTCCAATGGAGTCTGTGTGAGTGGAATATAGTGCAACTTAGGTAGGCAGGCCGTGGATGATAGGAAGATTGTGAAGAAATCTCATTCAAACACACCTACGAATTGTAGACCTCCAGAAAATTGACAACACGGGTTATTAAACTATAAAAAAAAATTTCAAATGGAATTTTTTCATCAGCATCACATTTTCCTGACACGAGAGCGACCTTAATAGGAAACTGCACATGTACAAAATCTTTGACATAAGTCATACGCATCTGCGAAGCCTTCCGAATGAAACTGTCAAGCTGCAATAAGAATAAGAACACAGAACACATAAGACATGCTTACTAATTAACATTATCATGTAAATAAAAATCTTCTGCTGCTCTTTCAGATTCTAGATAAATCAACAACTATCTACTACCAAAACAACAAACGCAATGTTTAGTTGTGTAGCGAAAAAAAAACAATTATTCTAATAATAGACAACCATCTCTCTATGCCATATGAATGTTAAACAAACACCAATAATGTTGTCGGCATTATTGTCACTGACCGATGAATTTAAATTAACAATATGCATTATAAATGCTACAAATAAAATATATTATAAAATGAAATATTGTAAAAATAAAAATCCATGAATCAAAAATTCAAATCAAGAATCTTGTTGTTACATGTGTATCTCACTAATATCTTGAAAACATGACGAATCGATCTTCAAAATATGTAACAAACACTATTATCTTTCAGTATTTCGAAAAGAATAGCCCAGCAAGAATCAATCTATCAAAACTGTCTGACATAAATATAGAATTAGGACAATTCCTTCAATAAATTTTTCAAACGTTTCCTTATGTAACAAATGTTTTATCACAAGAAAAAGACATTCAATTCGTATTTCAGTTTTGAAAAGAATGTGTTTAACTTTTATTTTCGAATTACTGACTGAGCAGTACAAGCCAAAACGAAATCAAATAGAAAAATATAAATATCCAAGACAGATATATACAACACAGAAAAGTTAATAGTATGACGGATAATTAGAATATGACAACGGATAACTTGGATAAATAGATGCGGCAGATGTTGAAGCATATGTTGAATAATACGGACTAGTCATTGGAGGATATGAAGGACTAGACGAGCCATAATACATTGAAGATGTTGGTGACCAATAGCCTGAAAGAGAAATAGCATTATAAATAAATTAACAGAATAAAACTAATACTTACTTGATGATGGACTAGATGTTATTGATGGATCAAAAACAGTATCGTTCATTACAAGTGGTTTCACATCCATAACTGGTGATTCAAGAAAAGATGGTATGGTATTTTCTTCATCATTAATATAATTAGAAGCTGAAGCATTAGATGAATTCGATACAGATGGTTTACGAGTACGAGCACGACGATTGCTAAACCATATCTATTAATCAATAAAAGATTGTAAACTATGGTAAAAAACAATAAAAAAAAATCAAAAAACATACTTGAATACGATTTTCTTCAATATTTAAACGTTGTGAAAGTCGTTCACGTGTAGTTACATCTGGATAAGGTGTATGAGAAAATGTTTGTTCAAGTATTTCAATTTGTTCAGCCTTAAATGACGAACGATAACGGCGTGTATTATTAGTTAAATTTCTAACGGGACGTAATGGTAAAGTATCATTAAGTGAATTATCTAAAAGATATAATTCAAACGATGAATAAAAACCTCAAGATGATATAAATTTACTTTTGCTTTCGTCGGATTCTTCAGTTGTTATATCATCATCATTTAATTGTTCTCGATTTGTTTCTCTAATTTGTCGTCGATTATTTGCATTACCAATAGGACCTGGTCTATAAGAACCTGTCTCATTATAGCGAGAAAGAATTTTTGATACACATCCATGAGATACTTGAAGCTAAATAAATAATATGAATAACTTAAGAAAAAGATTTGAGTTTTGAATTATTTACTTGACGACTAATTACACAAGGACGAATTCCTTGACGTGCCATTTCAACAATTTGTCGACGAATATGATCAGGTAATGGACGACCGTTAATAAAAACCCCACCAAGTTGATTAACACGACCATGACCAGCTAATAGAAAAATTGGATTCAATTTCTGATGAATAAAAAGAGATAACTCACCGAATAGAGCTTCTTGTTCTGCTTGTTGATACATTCGATACCAACCTACAAAAGAATAAATTAGAAATTTATATTTAGTATTTTATTAGAAAAACTAAGCAAGAATCTAGGCAATGTTTCGTCGATTGTGTATTCTTGATGATGGTTGAACGTGTTGATAGTGATGAATTGATTAACTGTGTTGAAAATTTTGAAGATGCACGACTAGTTATAAGAGAGGATAGGTGTGAAAAAAAATTGATAAATAGAAGAGAGAAAGAAAGAAACAACCTGCTGCGTTAATAGATTGATAGAAGATATAGGCTGCTTCCAATTTACTGATATGTTTTCTTAGTCTGTGACGACGATTTGTCTAATTTGTTATTCGATTGTTGATAACAAGCAATCGTCAATGGATGAAATATACTTTACATGATCATCAAGCTGGTGTCATTTTTATATATTTTATGAAAAATGAATGATCAAACTAATCAACATCTCGGTTGGCGGTTCTATTTTTTTTTTTGTTTATTAATTGCTGATCTAAATAAAGACACATGTACGTTTTTTCTTTTTGGTTTCATCATGAATAAATCTTTCGACATACTTACTAAATATGATAGATCAATGAAGAAAATCTTTTTTTTTTGTAATAACTAGATTCATAGTATTGATATGTTTTTCTTCATTAGCTACTGCAATATCAATAAAATAAAATTTTTGTTTTGATCATCAGAATGTGTTAATGTAAAAGTGGATGATTGTTAGGTTAAGTGCTTAAGATTTCGACGAAGAAGGAATACATTTGACATTGATTGAATAGCAAGCAGGAGAACTTAGTTTATAAATTTATTTTCAATGAGTTTTAGTAATAAAAATTTTCAAAAGTATTATTTACTATTAATCATCAAGAAATCAAATTTCGAAAACGAAATCAATAAAAAAAAAAGGCAGGTTGTGGGAAAGATTAGTTTCTCTATTGATCAAAATGAAATATAATTGTATCGATTATTAATCACTGATTTTTCGAATATGATATTGATTCACGGTTGTGATTGTTGTCATAATTATTATAGAGAAACGTACGTTACCTTATTCAAAAAAAAAAACAGCATTCATTGAACTGATGTTTCCAATAAGATAAAAATCTTTATTTAACAAGAAAGCATATAGTACAATAAATATTTAAGACATGATGATCATATTTTTCAGTTTCTTACGGCAATAAACTATTCATTGATTATTGATTATTTCAATTTCTCTTTATTGGTATCCATGGTGAATATATTTATTAAAACAGGTAGAGAATTAGAACAAGTCGATCAAACAGTTAAAAAAAAATTTTGTGACATATTTAAATAAGTATTGGAAAACGTCAACAATTTATATAAACCAATAAAGTCTATTGTTTTTTTTCTCCGGTGTATACGTCATTATTATATTTAAATAGGTTTTCATATATTTTTTTATTCGAGCATCCCAGATAACTGCCAAGTAAATATAAATCAAAATATCAGTTTTATTACGTTTCGCCTTCGTTTAAATAGTTTTTTTTTTTGTATTAAATAGGTTTTGACTTTTAGTGGATTTCAAACATCATGCTTAGATCTTGACTAATTAGACTTATATGCTATTATTAATAGTTTGACTAAAATCATGATCTACCTTGCGCTTCACTTTTTTTTTAAAGTAGTTTCAACATTAGTAATATATTCAGTTTTTTCTTTTTAAGAATATTTTTAAAATAGGATCGACGAAAATTTGAAATTTATCTCTTTATTCACGAAAAGAACAACGAACTTCTTCATCCTGATTTAAATATTCACAAAGTCAGCAATATGTATTTATCCATTTTTTTTCTCTTTCATTGCATTGAATCATATAGCCAATTAATTTCTCGATAATGCGTTCCACAGCTCCAATCATAGTTTATTCAAGTAGCAGTTTTTGACTAATGTACACATTAATAACGTCAATACACACAGATGAAAATTTAAAAAATGTGCTCTCAAAGAGGGGTTGTTCACTAGAAAAAGTTTTACTACATATGGGATCCAAAAATTGTACATCACATGATTACTGTTATTTACTGTTTCATTAAATAAAATTCATTGTTATGAAGTCTACTTGATTTTTACAAAAAAAATTTTTGTATGACAACAATGGAACAAAGACGATTGACTGAAACTGCAAAAAGAAGCGATTCATACTTGAACAGTACACATCATTTTAAAATAGAACATGTATTTTCGCTAAGAAAATACTGAGAATGCAATTCATGTAGCAGCTAATAGAGAAGTCATATGTATTTTATAACATGGCGCAAGAAAATAATGATTGCTATGATAATATTTCGAATATGATGAATAATTTTTCTATTGATTCAGTCATGTCAAGAAAAATATGAAGCTGTATAAAAGATTCTCTCCATAAAAAAAAGTGTTTTTTTATTATGTACTTGTGAAAATTAGATCATTAGAAGATGAATATATAGTTTTTTAAGTGTTGAGAGACGAGAAAATTGATGAGATGGAGCATAATAATGATGTCGAATAGTTCAGTAATAAAAGAGAAGTTCAGTTAGACGTTATTTATCATTCAATCAAAGAAATACGTTACACATTAATCTTTTTTCCGAGCTTTTGAGTCAACTACTAAAAAAAGCTTCTGGATTTGACGAATTTTAAACTGTTTATAATAATATTTATCTAAGGGTATATCATAAGACATTGAAAGATATAGGTAAAGTGTTTTAGTGTTTTTTGTTTTAAACTTTTTGATGGTAATGGTTACGAAACAAAAAATTGGTGAGAATTGATCGATTGATATTGTCTATTGTGATATCTATTTTGAACTAGACAATAAATCTTTTTCACTACTGATGCCAAGCACATCAAATATATGAAATTTCTCTTTTGCTCCTGAAAAGATTAACAATATTTATAAGTACCGAGACATAACACACACACGAAACTTACAAAAACACACTTTCCTATTCTCATCGCTTACAGTGGATAATAATATTGATTTTATGTTCAAATTTTAAAAACAAAATACTACAATCACAAATAGTTAATATTCTCGTGCAGTATTTAGAAGATAAAACAAAAAGTTTGTCTTCATAATGGAATGAACTTCAGCTGTTACCAACAAAAAACACCTTGGTTTTCATATAAACTCGTATAACGACTAATCGGCACGAGAAAACTGAAGGATACGATACTAGCATATTTTTTTTTGATTAAAAACCAAAATTTTCATCACTACGTGCTTTGATAACTCTATTTTTGAATATTAATGATCTAAAATTTGTTTAAAAATGAAACAAAGCTAATTACATTTCTCAATACTTAATAGATTTCACATCATGTCAACTTTGGATATCATCTTTGGCAATAAAATTGTATCTCTTTTTTTGAATTACAAACACTTTAGAATGATATGATGTTTTACTTCTAATTTTTCGACATTTCAACGCTTATGAGTATCCAAATATGTGTTTAAAAAGTCATAATTCATGCTAAAAAAAGCTCGTCAACGCAGTCTAATTGAGTCTCAATTGTGGAATTCACATATATTCTATAGTCTCATTATAATAATGCGAAATACGTGAAGTAGAAAGTATCTAGTAGGCTAGAGCTATTTTCCAAATATCATCAGTTGCTAGAGAAACCATCTGTCTTACTTATTTCTACATTGTAAACAAAAAAAATTTTCTTTTTCTACTGATGCTCTACTTTTTATTTGCTTTGTTGCTATTCGCTCGTTTTTTTTCGTCTTTCTTGATGTAACATTATTATTATTCTATAACCATTGATATAACCGACATATATGTCTGTTGAATATATCCAAAATGTCTATAGCAGATTCCAGCACACTATTATACATCTTGATATGCTTAGAAATATTGATATACATTATTTCTCAAAGTTATAAGTTGATCAGTTGATGACTGTAGTCAATCAGAGCATTAATATGCATCATTCTGAACATCTTGAATGTCAATTTTTATTTGCAGAGATATAAAAAATTGCACTATTTAGAATATTAATAAATGTATTCTAGCAAAAAAAAAAATATCAAGACAGAATTTGAAATGTATTAGAATAATATAAGTCTTATTATTAATGCTTGCCAACGCCTTTTTTCTGTTACTAAGGAACGTTGGAAAGGGAATTCTGATGCCTGTTTTCCTCGATGGCTAAGGAAGTGTACTCAATCACTGTTGGTTTCCCTTCCTCCGTTGCTATTAAGGAGGAGAACACTACAAAAACTTCGACTTAAAACTTACGCTTACCATATATTTTTCCTCTGAAAATATAATGTAGGTTTCAAAAACTAAAACCGATCACAATAATATAACAGAAATTGAATATAAAAAGAAAACGAAAATTGTTTTATATCATCATTTTGGTTATTCTTCATTATTCTATATAACATATTTTTAGTATGGAAAGCTAAAAATTCCTTTATTTTATTTCTTATGTCAAGACATTTGTTTTATGAAATAATACAACGTACGAACATAATGTTTCAGTAATGAGTAATAAAAATAAATAAATAATTTATTTAGTAATTACAAACGACATGTAAACATAACGAAAAACAGAAGGAATAATATTTCACAAACTTGTTAAATTTTCAAAAATATTCTCTTTAACTATTGGTCGATTATCTGTTGTATTATTCAATATTAATTTTGACAAAGAATAACGTTTATTTAATGAATAGTTTCGTTGTGAACCATAGCTACTACTACCGGTAATTGAACTTGATGAAAATGATAAATTAGTTTTTGCTTGTCGTTTTGAAGTAATCGATTTGAAAAAATTTTTTTTTGTTCTAATTTTTCGTTTATCTAATGTCAATGTTGTTGATGGATGTTTTAATACAATAGTATTGCTATTTGTACTACCTGTGGACCTTAATGATCGTACTTTATCGAGTAAAAATAACTTTATTGATTGGGAACCTTGTCTTCGTTGAATATCTTTCGGTTTCTTTATTATATCGAATTCAATTTCACTTGAGGAATTTTTTTCATCACGATGATTGTCACTTGATTTATGCGTAGTTAAAGAATGATCATCAGATATATTAGAATTTTGTGCATGTAGCTGGTTATATACTGTTGTTTTTAATTTTATTGAATCATTTAATTTTGTATTTTGATGATCAGTTATTGATAATGACAAACGTTGTGAATGACGATAATTTCCCCATCCCAATGATTGTCTATCAATATTGTTATGATTATTATTATTATTATTCTTATTATTAAAGTTTGTTGGTGGATTATTTGATGCTTGTCGTTCAAATGGTTGATTTGCTGTATGTGAAGGATTTTGTTTTACTCTCCATATTGTGCCACGTCCACATGTAAGTATTACTTTAATAATAAAAATAAATCTCGTTCGAAATAATTTTCCTGATAATGAATATAATAAACAATTTGTTGCTGAATTAAATAAATCCGTAAAAAGAAATAATGCTAAATAATCTTTTATTTTTGGACATGCAGCTATAGTTACAACATACAATGTATGACAATGATACATTGTTAAAAATATTGGTATACCCCATGATATCATTATAATTGAAAAACTTTCAATTAATATAACAAGAAATGCACGTAAATCATTTTGTAAACGACGTTTACGACGATTTTTTCTTGTTGCTTGTTTTAAATATTTTAAACTTTTCGAAAAATAAATTACTTTTATTGATACAAGATTAGCAAGAACGACAATAAATGATGGTAATGCATTACCAAAAAATATTGCTAATGTATGACGATTAAATGAAAATGATACGGACTGAAGAAAATCAAATGTTCGTAACCAAAATGGATAACTTAATTCGATTTGACAAGAACGTTTTTCAAATAATTTCATGATAAAATCAGATGATTTAGCAATTGTCTTATGTTCAATTAATATTGATTGATTTGATAGATTATAATCATTAGAAATAATATTTGTTAATATATTCATGGTATTTTCTGTAGCTTCTGCATCACGATTAGATAGTAATGATTTAGTTAGCAGATAAAATTGTGATGCTCTCTCATGTGATGAACAATTGTACTGAAAAAATTTATAAAATATAATTTTTAAATCAATATTATATTATAGTATAAAAAGAAAAAAAATATTCAACTCATTTCTGTCACATTTTATCATACAGATTATAACCGATATAATTCTTCTACATAAGGATTTAAAATTAATATTCTCTTTTTATTAGAAAGCATCTACTGACAATATGTATGCACTAATTTATAAAATAGAAAATAAACGATGTAAAAAAGAAATGTTCTTATTGATAATAATACTATCTATCTTATGAGTATCAAGGAATTCACAAAAAATTCTATTAATTTTGAATGTTATCAATATTTTGATACTGATATGTTTCTTTGAATAAAGGTTACAAAATGAACTTTCTAACCTTCAGTGTTTTTTTTTGTAAAACGCATCGATTAATGGAGTCTTAATAATGGTCATAAAATCTAAAGAAAATAGTTTTCCCCTAGGCAAACTATTCAACTATCATTGATAGTAGTAGTCATTAGCCAAATATGCGTTACAATGAATATGTTTTCATCTATTTTCTATAGATACTTATTTGTAGTACGCGAATAGGGTATGTCACTGTACAATACTTTTGAACTTGTTCTATTTTATTAATGTGATATTTCGCAAGTTTTTCTATATAAGAACTAAATGACCTTCGATGAAACTAAAATGCAAATTACGGATTTAAATTAGTTGAATAAGATTTTTTAGAATATTATCAATGTTTAATTGACGAAAGTTTTTTTTTTTTGTTTATTTATATGTCTTCTAAAGTCAATGTGCCTATTATTGTAACGTTATCTTTTAAAAAAGATGTAAATCATGCTCTAGAATGTACTGTCTAATGAGGTACTAATAAATTATATTATATATTTTCATTCGTTATTTTGGTTATGTAACTGAAATTAATTACCAGTAAATAATTATACTCTTAAGTAAGCTCAGAATCTTTTCATTCCAATTAATAGAGGTTTTATATTAATAATTAGGAAAATATAATTCGAAGAAAGATTTGATTTTGACAAGATTATCATGTATATTTAGAATATTGGATTTGTGAAAAACGTCAGTGCAACATGTCAGATATTTATTATATTTTAATCGGAGTTATTTGAACAGTGTATTATTCAGTAGAACGTTGGATATGATGATGTTTCCAGGTGTTTCAACATGCAACGCGTACAGAAGAACACCAGGATAGAATAATGCATTTTGATGTCAACCTGTCTAGTTTACCAGATACTTCATCATCATAGATTTCCTGAATATGTTGGTCACATAGTAATTAAAAAGGCTGAATTTAAGAATTTGCCACAAATACACTACCTTTTACAATGAACTTGTCAAGAAAAGAGTTCTATCAATTCATCTTCTTCTCACTCAGCTGTGTCATGAAGAAATACTTATAAAAAACAAATGAATATCATACAAGGCATCTAAATTATATCTTTTCAAAACATTTTTTTTCTTAATTTTGTTTTTTGATGCATAAACGGTCGATATTGTTTTCTTTGATAGAATATCGCAATTGAGAAAAAAAACGATAAAAAATTCATTCTGTTTTCATATTCGTGTTAACTACTTTTATTTTTTGAAATAGTTCAAAGGAAAATCTTCAACATTGGAATGAACCTGACATCATTATTATTCTACGTTACATAGGTTCTTATTCAACAAAATGAGTATCAAATTAGTTCACTTATAAAATAAAAAGAAAAGTCTGTGACAAGAAAATCATATCTTCTCTCATGATGTTCTTTTACACTACAGATTATATTGTACGATGCTTCTTTAACTCAAAACGAATGAAATTTTCTTTGGGCATTATTCAAATTGGGTTTTTTTTTTTGGTAAGATCAATTAACAAACGTCAGTCTTCTCTGAAAACATGCAAAAAGAAAAAAATTGAGAAACATGTTTCATCAATTGACATTTAAATCGAGCTTTTAGGACGTAATTACAAAAGTTTTTTTTCTTTCGAACATATAGAAAGATGACATTATACTTTTAATAAACATAAATTTCCTTTCTTTGATTGTTTTTTTTTTAATAGAGTTATTCATTTTAATTAATAATTTATATACATATCTGTTTTTCTTCAAATTAATGTAAAACATAATGCAATCACTATGTTGTTTTACCTTAAGACTAATGCTTTTGAGAGTTCTGTTGACAATAATTAATTATCGAGCAAAAAAGACTAAACGAAACTAATTCATATGATAGAAAACATATTGTCATTAAAAAGCAGAAAAATAATGGTACTTCACTACAATCTAAATTTCCTATGCGGTATTTATATATAACTATAGTTCAATTGTTGAAATATACAACTTTGTTTTTTTCTTCTTTCTTGACTATAATTTATCTAGACCATCTTTTGCTTTTTTTTTTAAAGAATTTTTATTAACTTTTCATAGAAATTTTATATATTAATGAAGTATTTTTCAAAGAAAGATATATTGTTTTTCTTTGTCAGAAATATTCAAAAAGAAAGGAAACATATTCTTATATTACTTGCATGCTTTTAATGTTTCATTGTAATTTGATATACTAGATATTCATTATCTTTGGAACTTGCTTGATGATTTCAGATTTTTCTCACTGCGTATTTTCTTTTTATTAATGACATTGCTTCAAAAATCCAGTATAATTATTGTAAATCTAAATTCCTTTTTGTTTTGTTTTTTTGTTTTTATTAAGGATACTATTATAAATGGCTTTTTTTTGTACTTATTTACCTGCTTTATGACTATAGTATAATTTATTTTTCGTTTGAACATTCAAAAAAGAATTCTTTTATTCTTCTAGAAAATGAAAATTCCTATGTAATTGGTAAAATTAAAATGAATGTTATAATATAAGAACTAAATTACGACAAGAAATTTCATTCAATAGAATATTCTCTTTTGCTTGAAAAGGAAAAACAAGGAAAAGATCTTCCTTTTACACTTCTTTTGTAATATAAGCATTATTGTACACAATGATGACGTTTCAGCTCTCATGCCTAGTGCGGAAATGTATATTTATATTTAATCGTTTCATTAAACATGCATATCAAAAAGTAGAGCTTACTAGCAATCAATGACGTAAAACAACAACTTTAGTTTCACAACTAGTTATAAATAGCTCTAATTGAATTCTATAAGCAATTAATCAAAAGTTGTTTCCTAAGACGATCTAATAGAAAATATCTTTATTTTTTTCTGTGAATTAATAATTTGAAAGAAAAAAAAGAGAGAATTACCGGATTTGTCGAACTAGGCAAAGATGTTACATTAAATGATTCAACCATACAAGGATAATTGATCATTGATTCATTATCATAGCGATATAAATATGTTGAATAAACCTCTTGTGATGAATGTTTATGAATGATTGTTTGCAAAATTTCTAAATAAACATTTATATCATTAACTTTATCGTATTCTACAACAATCCATTCTAAACATGTTATTGTCATAGCAATAATAATACTGAATATGCATGCAAGAAATGCATATATACGTGATTCATGATAAGACAATGAAAAAAATGTTCTTGATCGTTGTACACTTAATATAGCAAGTAATATTGTTGATGCACGTGTCCATAAAACTTTATATAAAACCCATTCAAGACAAAATCGTCCCATAAATGTATAAATAAAATCTGTTAATTTATGTATAATTTTTTCATTAAACATGCATAACCATGATGATTTATCAATCATATTTGTTTCACGATCAATCATTTCAATATAACCAATTAATAATGTTATTGAATCACTTATTAATAAACAAATAAAATAAATAGCAATTGGTTTTTTAATAAATACATTTGAACAAAAAACGATTATACAAAGTATATTTGATATTAAACTATATAAATGTATTGCTGGCATTAAAAAACACCATGTAAATGTTGGACTTGTAATCATATTTGATAATTTTGTTGTATTAATTATATCAATATCCATTGTATAAATTTTATAAATAGTCTGTATTTATTTTTCTTTTGTAATTTTACCGCTACACAACATCTAGTCTAAAAAAAAAAGTAGTCAAAGTATTATATTTGATAATTACTATTCAAAAGCAAAAAAAGAAATCAACAGTATATCGTAGATGATAATTTGTTTTCTTCATTAAAGAAGGTTTTTTCAAACTATGAATGTGACAATGATGAAAGTGTAAATATATATGAAAGAGAATATCAAGAAAAACATTGATATGATTAAATGATGAGAAGAAAAACTAAACTAGCTTATGTTTCGAACTACTTCTCAATTGATAATATGAATTTCTTTCTATGCACTTTTGCATCTTTTTGTCATTCATTCATTCATTCATTCATTCATCTGAAAACCATTTCTTTTGCATTTCCTATCTATAGGAAAGAGAAAAGTCTTATTGCGATTATTATCTTATTTTAGTCGAATCAAAACTGGTTCAGAAGAGAAAAACTTAAGTATTGTTTTGGATTAGATCATAATAGAATCATATATTTAAAGAACTAGACATACAAATATTGACGTAAACATTCTTATATACATAAATATAGCTTAGTACTCATTTACTTTTATATTAATCATTATATAACAACACGATTAGTACAACTAAAAACAGTGGACAAAATTAACACACCTTCTGTCAATCTGTAAATATAGTGTTCTCTTGTATCTTCTATAGACAAGAATGAAATAAAAATAAAAGAATGAATAGACAGAAAAAGAAAAGCCATCACCTCGTCAATGATGATAGAATTATAGATTAGATAGATACCCTTGAATATGTGCATGTTTATAGGCGTGAATATGGATGCATGTCTTCCGTTTTTTACTTGCTAGCAATTAGACATAAGAAAAAAAAGTTACCGGTAATTACACAAAAAAAAACGACTTCTGATGGAATATGTTGTGCCATGTTTCTTTTCTTTCTCTCGATTTTTTTTGATGTGTCTCACTCATCACTTATAAAACATGACACTTAATTCAATATCAAGAGTTTGATCAACTATTGAAATAAACTAAATGACACGAAGAATTTATTCTCATGTACATTATTTTATATACATCTATTTATCTAATTAGTTAGAATATCGCGCCACCAAGTAGACTTGGTGAGACATAAGAGATCAAATAACACATTTTATATTTCATAAACGAAAGAAAAAAGCAGAATAATAAAATCTGTAAGGCATTCAGTTCACAAAGAGTTCTCAAGTATATAAAGAATAATAATAAACTTTATAAACGAATAAGTATCCAGATGAAGCAAACAACAAATTACATACGAGTGAATGATCAACTATTTATCGTCATCAATGAACTTTTTTTCTTGGAATATAAACGTACATGCCAAAAAAAAACATGATCATATGAAACCAGTGTATTACTTAGATTTCATTTGTATAGAAAATAGCTTAAGGACAATTATCGGTATTCTATTTCTCGTTATTAGTAGCTATTTTCTTATTTCTTCTATTCGATATAATCACAAGCCATTATTGACGCACTCTTTATTAACGTTATTGGGTTCTCTCTATCGAATATAATCTACAAACATTAGTTATGTGTGCTTACAGAAAACAATGTTGGATGCATAAGAATTATCATGGAAAGAACAAGAAGTAAAATGATAAAGTTAAATGGAAAAACCATAAACTATAGTCATAATCATTTTATTTTCGTACGATACAGTGGAAATAAATCATATCAAATTTGCATCCATTCTAGAACGACGAAAAAGAAACGCCCATAGATATTAGAAAGAGATGTATAGAAAAAAAATGCATACGATTAAAAGAAAAAAATTATCATTCATCATCTGTTATCATCAAGGAAAAAACATGACAAAAACATTTTCAAGGCACTTTAATCGCATGACAATATTTATTGATCTCAATTGAATAAGTATGCTTATAATGACAGATTTATTTATATAACATTTTATCAAATGAATAATGAAAAATATTTTCATTAATAAACACTTTTCTTTGTAAAAATAATTAGGTTTATAGTGATATCAGAAGAAAAAAAGAAAGTTGTAGAATAAAATTTTATCTATTTAATAATTAATTTTTTTTCCTATTTTTTCAACAAGACCGATGATGAATATTCTTTTTTTTTTAAATTATATTAATTAAAGATAATATACTATTTAAAAAAAAACTCAACTTACATTCGAATAAAAGGATGAGACTAATTGTATATATTAAGCATAATCAAATGAAAATAAATTAAATAAATCATTTGAAAATGTTCTACTAAAACGACTAATAGATATTTGTTTTTTTTTCATAATCATGATTTATTTTCATAGTTACAACTGATTATTTGTCCTAGTTCATACTCGTTTGACTGAAAATATTTGATGAATAAATATTATTCGATAGTACGCATGATTATTTTATTATCAAATCTGGAATAGTTATTTATATAAGACAGAATTTCTTTTTTTTTTTTCTTCTCTCTTTTTATCTCATAAAAATAAGTGTAGGAGAAAGAACAAAAATTACTTGAAATACAAATATGTTTTATCTAAATAAGAGGAAGAAATAAAATCTTGATGTACTTTAATTGAAGACTTAATAAATAAACGAATAGGATATATCAAACGATAAATAACTATGATTAATCGTTTTGACTTCTAAAAGGCTTTAACATATTCATAGTCGTTAGTATAGACACGATGAAATGCACTTGAAGTTCAAAAGGAAAACAAAACTAAGACGTAATATATTTCTATTAATTTAAACGCATCAGTTATCTTTTTTATCGGATTATATTTAAACAGTACTACATTAATGAGTGCTTTGTCTTATGCAAAATATTACTATTACTGAAAGTGCTTTCTTTCACTTTCTTTTTTATAAATTGTTTTTATATGTAATAATTTGATGCATGTTGAAAATATAGATCTTTTTCCTTTTGTAGAACTCAAATTTTCTCATGCATATCAATGAGTTTTACAGTTGATTAATCTTATATCGAGATGACATTGAGAAAGCGTTAAAAGAAATTCTTATCGAAATCTAAAGAATTTCACTTATAACTTATGTTCTAACTGGTTAATATCTGAATTAAAACAATAAAATCCAACTTACCATGTTATAAACTTTGAATATTTATTGACAGGAAATATTCTTACTTCGAACTTGTAAAATTTATTTTGAACTTACAATCAATATATTTCATGTCAGTAGATTTATTATTATTATTATTATTGATATTTTTTCTATAATTTACTTAACTATTTTCACTATATTTCTTATTTTTTTTGCTATAATTATATAATCAATACTTTTAGATCAATTTTTTTTTCTTATTCAGGATATAAAAACAGTCTTGAAGTCTTCCGGGGTCAATCTATTTTCGATTATCTATATCCTAAAAGATAATGAAAACATTTATTTCCCTCGATATTTCAATCTATTCAGCTGTAAAATATGAGATGATTCTTTCTCAAGAATAATAAAACATCATCATCTTGAATACTTATACAAAATACATGTTTCCTTTTGTTAATGTGATCTTTAATCTATTTTTCTTCTTTTACGTATGTATTAAACAAGTTTATTTTATTCTAATAAACTATTGAAGAGAGCACAATTTTTTCTAGTATCGATTATAACATTAAATTTATTGTAATTTGAATTTTAAAAAGTATTATTACTAGTTGAATAAGCTTAAAAATTATTTTAATTTTTTGTTTCTCAAGAAAATAACATTAAGAAATTCAGAGAATACAATTCAAAATTTTCATTCAAGATTTCAATGATTAGCTTAAAATCAAAGTTCAATGAGTTGATAGGATCTCGAAGAAATTGTAGCACTCGGGCTAGTATTGTCTTTCTTTATTAATAAAACACATTATATGCTTTTCTATAGATACTGAAATATCAATCTTTAAATGAAATTATTTATAGAGACAGTTCATGCGAGAACTACGAAATCAAAACATTACTTAAATATGTAGGTTTTTTTATCTATTAAGTGTATTCGAGAGTGTATGATCTAAAACTATCAAAACTAAATTCTTAGTTTATATGAATGTTCTATAAAAAAAATTAGTCTTTATTGACATTTCAGTACTTATTACCTATTATGAGGACATTTGTCTTACATTGTCTCATCAATGTCTGCTAGAATTATAACTTTAGCGAGACGGAAAAAATTCCATTAAATGTGCCTTAAAATAAAGTATGTAAACCTGGAAAAAGTAAACTATCAAAATTTCTTATATGAGCTAGTTATTAGAGTTATAGTGCTCAACATTGGTGCAAAGTGACACAATGTATCAGTCTATAACAGCCGACTCTTCGCAGTATATCTGCTAACACTTTTTGAAATCAAGTCCGATCAAATTGAACTTTTTATATGTTATGTAACTTGTAGTTGTTTTTTTACAAAATGGTTAAAAACATATTAAAATAAGAAAGTTTACCTTCGAAATGATATGATGCTCATACTGTCAGTAGTCAGATAAATATCTACAAAGAAAACAATCTCGGACGTCTTTCAGTTTCTTCTATCCATGAGAATTTTTATTTCAGAGAAATTATAATTTCATCCTTCATAGAATAGCATAGACATATCTCTTGAACAAGGAAAAAAAATTGTAGTTCTCCAGACTCCTGAAAGCAGCTATAACGTGTTTTGCTAAATTGTTTTTTCGTGTAATTAAATATTGATGATCCAGATCGATCGAACTTGAAATGTAAATCATAGCGATATGATTGAAGTCTATTGTTAATCATAACTTGATAGTATATAGGCAACACTTTTGATAAAGCATTTGAAGGAACATGTCAAATATATGAATTCAAGGAATCAAATTCACACAAATTAGCTCTAATTAACAATGAACTTTTATCATATGGCTGAAATTTAAGTTCCAAGCCCAATCAATATGAATCATGGTTATTCGCTTACACGAAAAAGAGAATTTGCTAAATATCCCATAATTACCCAAAACG